TCCCCCTGGCCTCTCCACCCGGCCTCTCCCTCACTCTTCCCCCTGGCCTCTCCCTCTTCCCTCTGGCCTCTCCACCCGGCCTCTCCCTCACTCTTGCACCTGTTCTGTGCCCATTTATTGGTACCCTGTACCCAGGTCTTGTTTTGGCACCAAGGAAATTGCAGTAAATGCCCGAGGCTCCTGTCTTGAAGCTCCTAAGACTGGGATGAAGACTAATGAGCTGGATATCTGTCCCAGCACCATGACACAGGGTGGGCTGAGCTCGTCCCCCCATGTCTGTGTCGGAATCCTCATAAGCAAGGCTGAGGTGTCACAAGGTGGGGCCTGTGAGAGCCGGGGAGGCTGTGGGGGTGGAGCTTCACGGTGGGGTCAGTGCCTTTGTAAGGGGGGCCCCTTCCACCATGAGACGACACAGTGGCCAGGGAGGGGCCAGGACCTGGAACTGAACTGGCCAGCACCTTGATCCTGGACTTCGAGCCTCCAGAACGGTGAGCAGTGGGCAGAGTGAGGCCACACGGTCTCAGGGGAGCTGTTGCAGCAACCAGAACAAGGACACCACGCTGGGGCTGGGGCTGGCCTGCCGCCTCTCAGGAGCCAAGGGCACCCGCCCCCGGGCATCACAGTGAGAAGCCAGACACACAGAGAGGCTGTGGGGAGGTGGCCGGGACCTGGCTGGATGCCTCGCTTCACATGCCTGCCACCATGCGGAGCAGTGCCACCTCCCAGACCAGCGCCCGTTCCACAGGCAGGCACGCCCACCCTGCATGTCAGGGCCGCAGGGCCCCATGCCTCCCGCCACCTTCTGCTGGGCAGCCCCTTCCTCAGAGAACAAAGAGCACTTTGGTTTCTTTTGAGATGGTCTCGCTGTGTCACTCAGGCTGTGGTGCAGCGGCGGGATCTCAGCTCACGGCAGCCTCGACCTCCCAGGCTCAGGTCATCCTCTCACCTCCACCTCCCGAGGAGTTGGGACCACAGGTGCCACCATGCCTGGCTAATTTTATTTCTATATTTTTTGTAGAGATGAGGTTTTGCCAGGTCGCCCAGGCTGGTCCCAAACTCCTGGCCTCAAGGGGTCCACCTGCCTCGGCCTCCCAAAGTGTTGGGATTACAGGTGTGAGCCGCCATGGCTGGCCATAAAAAGCATCACCGAGGCTCCTGAGGCATGCCCACCTCCTACGTCCACCCCAGGGGAGGCCACCCCATGCTTGGCAGCCTGTTCCTATTGTTACATGTTCCCATGTCCGCTCAGGAGGGAGCCTGGCCCGCACTCCACAGGGCGCACCCCTGCGTCTTGCTCTGGGGATGTGCTTCGTTCTCTCTTCTCCCACTGCACCAGGCCCTGCAGCTGCCCCAACACCGTGGACGCCCAGGGCGTGGGCAGAGGACAGTGGCCCTGATGTCCAGGGACAGACAACAGAGGGTGCAGTGAACAGGTCCCAACTTGGTGACGGGGACATCCAGTTCCTGCTGCGTGCATTGGTTGGTGACAGCAGCAGTGGCCACACGGGGAGAACCACACCCCTGCCAGTGGGAGGCCTGGCTGGTCACCGGAGCACAGACGCCAGGGCAGAGCCAGGAGGGGACTCAGGAAGAACACTGCCTCCTTGCCGTGGCTGGAGAACCAGGCACGGGCTGGTGGCAATCCGGGAGGGAGCCCCAGCCTGTCCCCGGTGGCCTGGAGGACTCGTCCTTAGCCAGGGGGCCTCATCTGTAGCCACGGGGACGTGAGCAGGGAGCGGCAGCTGCTGTGTCACCTGAGGCTCCGAGATCAGAGTCCCCACCCCGGACCTAGTTCTGAGGCCTGAAACTTCCATGGTTAGATGGTGATGGAAAGCCTTCCTTCAGGGGAAAAAAGATCAGATGACAAATTCCAAAGAATGAAGATGAATATAAACACAGAAACGTTAAAAATTATCACATCGCAAAGCTTAAAAAGCTGGAAAACACAACACAATATTCAGTAAGTGTTTTATTCGTGAACCATTTGCGATGAATAAGCAATTGACCCACGGCATTTCCCCATTTCGTGGTGGCCTCTTCATGCCTTTGTGGAATCCCCGCTTCCTCCTGCAGGGCTGCCCGGATTTGTTTCTAACGCCGGCGCCTGGAAGGCCGCCCTCCGCCCCTGTCACAGCCCGCCGTGGTGAGGACGGTCGTGGGCCTGGCAGCAGGAGCGGCATTTCCTCCCGCTGCAGTCCCCACACCTCCCAGGCTGGGAGGACATGTCTGCCTCACCATGTGACCTCTGGCCCTGGCCATCCTGTCCTGGGACTCCCTGCTGCTCCTGCAGGCAGAAACGCCGTGACTGGGAACCCCGAAACGGCTCCCAGCAGATGGAGCCAAGTGCATGTCCAGCTCAGCCTCCCCTACGGGGGCCCCACACACCCCCGGCTCCTCAGGGACCCTCAAGGTGAAAGGAGTGTTATGCTGAACCTAGTGGAAGGGGCCGCCAGCCCCAAACACGGACAGCTAAGTCTTCTGCGAGTTTTACGAGATGACAGAACTTTGTGAGCACATTGGCAGGGTCCCAGAGCTCAGCCTTCCTGGTGGTTCTGGCACATGTCCCCTACCTGGGGACCACAGAGTCCACAGCCTCGACGGGCTGGCGCTGGGCTGGGCGCCCCTGCTCCTGTGGGAGCCCAGAGACCCCGGCCTCCTCCTGCCTGGGGCTCAGCCCAAGAGCAGAGCTTCTCAGGTCCTGGTCACCGTGACTGGAGCAGGCTCTCCGGGAGGAAGAACCAGCTCTGCCTGGAATTCTCCATTTCTACCAGGGAGGCTGGGCTGATGGCCGGGGCCTAGAGGGGCGCATGCTTCAACACAGGCCAGAGGAACCGGCCCCACCTGCCCAGGGCCACCCTGTCACCCTCCAGACCAAGTGTCCCCAGCAACAAGATCTACCGCCTTCCACACCCCATCCAGCAGACCCAGATCCCGGGGGCAGCTGAGGGGGGAGGCGGCGGAAATGCAGGTTCCGGGTCCCAGCGGACTCCGTGGGGACCCAGAAACCCAGCCTGAGCAAGCCCTCTGGGCGGTTCTCACGAGTCTGGGCCTGCCAGCTTGACCTCTGACCTGGTCCCCGCCACAGGACTGGCCACCTGGCGGGGGTCATGAGAGGCTGTGACAGCCGGCGGTCCTTGGCCTGCTCCTAGGGGGTCTGCAGGGACAGGGACAGGTGGGTTTCTTTTCCTTCCCACTGACAGGGCAAGACAGGGATTGGGAGCTTTGCCCTGTGCCCCTCCCCCTCCTACCTGCCTTATGCCACCTGGGGGCCACAAGACTGCCCCCCCCAATACAGCCCCTGTCCATGAGGCCACCCCCAGCCCTGTCCCCCACCCTCCTTCTTAGAAAACACCCCTGTCCCTACTGGTCGGTGTCCAATTTCCTGGAAAATAGCTGTATGGCCTAAAAGACCTTTGAACTCAACCTGTGCAATAGGAAGACTTGGCCTCCTGGACCTCCCAAGGCCCAGATCTCTGCTGCTTTCTCTCCGGGAAGAAGCCCCTCACAGCCTGGCCTTCCACGTCCAGCTCTGCCCTGCCCTCCAGGTGTCGGGGGACGCAGGAGGAGGCTGTGTGGAGGGGGCTGTGTGGAGGGAGCTGTGTGTGGAGGGGCTGTGTGTGGAGGAGCTGTGTGTGGAGGGGCTGTGTGGAGGGGCTGTGTGGAGGGGCTGTGTGGAGGGGCTGTGTGGAGGGGCTGTGTGGGGGGGCTGTGTGGGGGGGCTGTGTGGAGGGGCTGTGTG